TAAATAATTAGAGCAATATAATGTAAATAGAGTTAGTGTTGTAAGTAAGCATTGGTTTCCCTTGTGTTATGGCAAATAAAAAAATGAATAAATAAATAAATGCTGATTGGGCAGCTAGCGGTAATTCTAATCAGTTCAAGTACTTTGGAATTACGGCGGATGCTGGGTAGGAGCCTAGCGAGTAAATATAAACAGATAGAATTACTCCGAATTAAAAGCATCCCGGTTAGCCTAAACAGCAATTCATTTTACTTAACTAGCACCTGGTTAGCCTGTACACAGTGCTCCGTTTAGCCTAAATGCGGTTAGCCTAAATAGCCCTTCAGTTAACCTACCTAGCNTCAGTCTGACAACAGCAGTCTACCAGATATAAATTGTGTCAGTTATTTGGTCTGAAGGACGAGGAGACACTATATATGGCACAAGTCCCTCTAGGGGACATAACAGTTTGCAGAGAACAGAGATGTAAATAGCAGTATTGAAGAAGCCTTGCTAGGGATTATCCGTTTTTCGTATCAAAATGAATTTAACCAACTCAAAGTCTGAGCCCGAGTCAAAAGCCTAAATGCTGATTGGGCAGCTAGCGGTAATTCTAATCAGTTCCAAGTAGTTTGGAATTACGGCGGATGTTGGCCAGGAGCCTAGCGAGTAAATATAAAAGATAGAATTACTCCGAATTAAAAGCATCCCGGTTAGCCTAAATAACGTACCGGTTAGCCTAAACAGCAATTCATTTACCTAACTAGCACCTGGTTAGCCTGTACACAGTGCTCCGTTTAGCCTAAATGCGGTTAGCCTAAATAGCCCTTCAGTTAACCTACCTAGCACCCGTTAAGCAGGAACACAACTCTCTGTTAGCCTAAATGGCTGTTACCTTTAAACAGTTGGCCCTGAAATTAGGGAAAGGGTTGCCGGACTCGAATTTGACTCGGGCTCGGATCTCGAACTCACATCGCTCAACCGGTGAGCTTGTTCACTCACTTTTTAAAAGAACTGTAAACATTACTAGCATTAAATAACGTATTGTCGAGAAATGCAAGTTGATAATAATACTAACTAAACACAACAACACACTTTCTTGATACGGTGGAGAAAAAAAAAATGGCAAAATCAATAGCAACTGTATTATTAGTCTTCAAAAGATTCTCGTTTTAGAAGTGTAGCTGCTCTTATAATAAAACCTTATGATGTAACTTTTATTTCTAGAAAAAAAAAGTATTGCTTTGAAAATATCTGGGTCATCGCTTTAAAAAACTCCCTCCATTGCAAAAAGAAGAAACACATCTTTCAAATTTTGATATTTTGATATTTTGATAGAATTTCTAGTTACAGTATCCCTCGTACATGTAGTGTAAACACTTACTTGCACGATTACCTACACTGATTTTAAATTTGCGTGTACAAAATGAATTGAAATGCTGAAGTTGCTGAAGCAAACCTGCTGATCATTAATTTAGAGAAAGTGTTTACAATGACTGTTTTCGTTATTCCAATGTCCAGAGTATTAACTACTTAATAACCGAGAGTGAGGTCGTTACGGGAAAATCTCAAACTGANACTCGGGCTCGGATCTCGAACTCACATCGCTCAACCGGTGAGCTTGTTCACTCACTTTTTAAAAGAACTGTAAACATTACTAGCATTAAATAACGTATTGTCGAGAAATGCAAGTTGATAGTAATACTAACTAAACACAACAACACACTTTCTTGATACGGTGGGGAAAAAAATGGCAAAATCAATAACAACTGTATCATTAGTCTTCAAAAGATTCTAGTTTTAGAAGTGTAGCTGCTCTTATGATAAAACCTTATGATGTAACTTTTATTTCTAGAAAAAAAAGTATTGCATTGAAAATATCTGGGTCATCGCTTTAAAGAAACTCCCTCCATTGCAAAAAGAAGAAACACATCTTTCAAATTGCACTCACCTAAATGCTTGTGTTATTTTGATGGAATTTCTAGTTACAGTATCCCTCGTACATGTAGTGTAAACACTTACTTGCACGATTACCTACACTGATTTTAAATTTGCGTGTACAAAATGAATTGAAATGCTGAAGTTGCTGAAGCAAACCTGCCGAACATTAATTTAGAGAAAGTGTTTACAATGACTGTTTTCGTTATTCCAATGTCTAGAGTATAAACAATTATTGGATGAGGTTTCTGTGATATCCAGAATAATCAAGTTCCAGGCAGGGGTTATCAACCTGAGCCGAAGGCTGAAGCATAATAACCCTTACCGAGACTTTGGTTATAGCTGGTTTTCACATGACGTCACTAAAATTCTAACTACAAAACTATTGATCTTCCTGAGATTTTACTTAAATGATGTATAAGAGCAGCTGAAAACTAATATTCATACAGCTTTTCGCTCCGAATGGGTTCTTGGTTTTGTGATACACTACGCTTGAATTTCTAAGCTTTTGCGGATGGGCACCAGCATGGCGTCTCCATACAAATCTCTCTAAATTTGGGTAAAAAAATTTCTCCGTATATCTCGCATAAGAAAAATTGCTGTGACCAGAATCTTGGCGAGAGTCTTTGCAGATTTACCGTCTTTCATTTCCCAGATTCTGGACTTTATCTATTGACCGGTATTGATTTCAATTTTGATCTATTTTGAATTGCGTGACACTGAAAACCAGCAATTCTGGATAACAAAAAAACTGAATCTAATAATCGTTTTATTATACATTGAACGGAAAAAAAAAAAGAAGAAGAAAGGAAGAAAGGAAGTCATGTTTTTGCTTCTTCACTGGCGGCAAGCAACACAAAGAGCGCGAACTTGACATCATTACCCTTCGAAATCATGCATCGCGGTCATTCATGACATGATTACCCGTGACCTTGAATGTCCTTGACATGATTATTGTATAATCTGCAGTTGGATGACGTTACAGGCGCTTATTTCGAAAATTCACTGTCCGCTTTC